TATACCACATAAGATAAGCTAAAATTTAGTAACCCCATTTTATTAAATGTTTTAAAATATTTCAAGTTGTCAAAAATATGCATCTAAATACAACACTGGCCTGTTCTTTGAAATTAGTGGTACTTTTTTTCCTAAACGTTCTAACGTGAACTCAATATAAGTTTTCTATTATTAAGCCTAAAACAGTCAAAACATTAACTAACAATGGATCAAACAAACATTGCAGAAACTCAAGATCAATTTAATATGGATAACATCGGTTTTCGTATCCTAGAAGATGGTAAAGTTTCTGTTGTTCTAGAGGGGACTGGTAATATGACTGCGGCAGCTTTTTTCAATAAAAAAATGGCAGCATTTTTGTATGAAGCTGACATGGCATGGAAGGAAATAGAGGCCATGGAAGACCAGTTGAATGATGAAATTAATAAGTTGAAACAAATTAATAATGAAATTGCGGAACTTAAATCATCAAGTTCAACTGAAGAAGAACAAAGTGATGTTGATTTGAAGTCGTTGTACATATCCAACATTGATTATAATGCAACAGCCGCTGACTTAGAACTTTACTTTCGTTCATGTGGAACTATGAAGAGAGTGACCATTTTAAAAGATGTACATGGATATTCCAATGGGCGCGCGTTAATTGAGTTTACTAAAAAGAAATCCATGCAGAGAGCGTTGACTTTAGACGGAAAGTATTTTTATGGAAGAAAACTGGTTATGAAAAAAAACCGCACTAACAATCAAAGTTGCGTCCGCAATAATACCATGAGTGGCGGCGGCTATTTGGGATACATCCGTGAGGAAGTCTTTGGGTATGGACTTAATTTTTCTGGATCTAGGATTAAACGTTATTGTGGATACAATCGCCGTAGACTTTATGCACCATATTAGAATATACTTTTTTATTTATATTACTGTGTGTGAAAACAATGTTCGCAATATCCTTAATGCATTGCATTTTTTGTTGTATTAGAGAAATCAACAAATAAAGAAATACACATGTGTAATTTGCTTGTCGTGTTCTTAAAATGTTTAGAATATAAATAAAATTGGGTAAACAACCCATGGTATTTCAAGTTTTCAAAAATTGTAGAATTCAAGAATTGAAGAATTCAGGAATTCAAAAATTCATATTGTAAAAGAAATTAAAATCAAAAAAGAATATTTTTGATTTCATATTTAGTCATATCGTATGAACACCACCCCTATGCAGTGGTATAATCAACAATTTCCAGAATTCTTTGTTATTGACTTTGGTGGTAGCTAATCCTACTTCGTCAAGTTTAAGAAATTGTAAGTGTTGGAATCTCGTACAAATTTCCAACCTGCATAAAATAACGTTAGTGTTGTACATCGAAATAATAAATATAAATACTTACGTACCTGGAATCAGAAAATATAAGAAAAATACATTTAAAAAAATTAATAATACACTTACCTTATTTGTTTATTAATTATATCTTCCTTCAAAATCACTTTTAAATATTTATTTTATTATAATAAATAATATAAATGAAACCAACACAACCGAATGCACAACCATCCGCCGCGAATTCGCCGAAAAGAGGCAAATTGAACAAAACCACCTTACAGCAAGAAGTGATTGTATGTGCGCTACACCGAAAAAGCTCGTCTGTTCATTATTGATAACGGCGCATTTTTGTAGGCTGTCAGAGAGTCTTGTGTGATAACTCGATGACGTCAAACATTATATATAATATTGTTTAGCACAACGATGGTGTTAAGTCTACGTGCCACAAAAATAATATGCAAAGATATATATATATATCTATATACCGCAGTTCTTGGTACAACGGCGGTCTTAAGCCAACGTTCTGATATATATATACAGTGACGAACAAAATTATTATTGGCACAGCAAGCAAATTGAACTTTAGCACTACTTTTATCCTGTTAATGATGCGATTTTTAATAAACAAAAAATTTTTTTAGATAAAATGCTTAATTTACTTTTAAATTCATTTTATTTCATTTTATTTTCTTGTATTTTTATATTTTATGCAATGCTCCGATAGGTATAGCGCCTTCTATCCATTCTATCCATTTTTTCAATCTCCGTATAAGATTCGCCTTGATTGTACAAATATAGAATTGGATAGACGTCCAAAGAAGCCCATTATAACAACAAAGGCAGAACTGAAGGTGGCACTGCTGAAGAGTGACAAAATTTGAACCAAAAACTACACAAAAATTTATTTCTTCGATTCCAAAAGAAATAGTAGCTATTATTAAATAAAAGAGCTTGGCCACTAAATATTAATTGTTATCAAAAATAATTTTTTGTTAAGAGAAAATATAAATATAAAATATATGATATAAGAAAATATAAAAGAAAATAAAATGAAATAAAAAGAATTTAAAAGTAAATTAGGCATTTTACCTAAAAAAAATTTTTTGTTTATTAAAAATCGCATAAAAGTAGTGCTAAAGTTCAATTTGCTTGCTGTGCCAATAATTTTGTTCGTCACTGTATATATTTAAAACGTATATATATCTTAGTTGCTAATTACGTTTTACTCCCCAAAAGGTAATCCGACACTATTATCTCAAATCCAGAGTATCTGTTCTACTCCCACCATCATCATACAACCAACTGTGTTTAAGACATTGAACCTTTTCTTTTTTGTTTGGTATATAGTTAAACTTAATATACCACTGAATTGTTTTTTTTAAGGAGCAAACTTAAATTATGTGCCTTTATTTAATTTTTATCGAACTTATTCTCTAATATGTAAATCAACTTATTTATCCTGTACAAAATCAGATTAAGAAATAAAAGCTGTTCTTTAGGAAAAAGCTGTTCCAGAGAATATAAATTTATTGCAACAACTCTGGACAATGGATGTGGATACCCCAGCAAAAATTTTTAACATACACGAGATAAAGTGTCGTTATAGAATCCATAAGGTAGTAAGCATTCCCAAGTATGTAAATATCTCAAATCGAACTTCACTAAAATTATTTATTGCAATTTAATTTCAGAGTCGAACAATATTTTCTATTGGAAAATTTTTTCTAAAATTAAATCAAATTCATACATTATGTTAAATATTGGCTTATATTTTATAATGAGCACTCTTTTTTGGGAAATATTTTATTCCTTCCAAAATTGCTAACATCTGATTGAAAGGGAGAATGATATGAGCTTAAGTTTCAGTCTTCATATGACTTCAGTCTTCATTTGTTATATTAATTAGCTGAAATGGTATATCTAGGTAGACAATATCGTAAAAACGAAAATTTGTGGGAATTTCCAACCTACATAAACTCAATAACATAGTACTACTTCTATCTGCGTAATTGTTAATAATAATTGTTGGAGATATCTGAAATAAAAATTGGTTAATTTTTGTTTAATATTAAATTATAAGCAACTTACCGAAACCCATCCAACGCAACTACAGCACGTGAAGTAATTTGAAATAAGGAGAAAATAAGGTTATAAAAAATAGAGAAATATATTTTAATAAAATAATAAACACATACCTTCTTTACAAATCCACGTAAATTTATTTAAATAAATAAATAATAATTTATTTATAAATGATTTATTATTATATTTATAAATAATTAAATACACGATGAAAACATTAGCACCGGCACTTAAGAAGCGCTTTTCATGAAATCAAAACCAATAAACTAGAATGCAATTCACTGCAAAAAGACTGCTGAATTGCATCAAAGTTCAATGAAGATCAACTCAAAAGGTTCAAGCGGATGCATATAAGAGACGACGCATTTATACAAGAATCCAGTGAGTCTTGTATGATCACTCAATGGCATTGTATAACATATCAAACATAAAACAATAATATTTAATTTTAACTGTCACGAAGGCGGTTTTAAGTCAAAGTGTTTAAAATATTAAAAATATATATATAATTGTTAGCAAGTGCAGAAGCGGTTTTAAGTCGACGCACCTGAACACTATTATATATGTATATACAAAATAAATAAAATACATATTTCTTTTATTTTTATTAACCCCGTTTTTCCTAAGAATGTAATCAAAGAGAAAGTTTATCAAAGTAAACATCCCGAGTATCAAACTACAAATCACTGACAATTCCAAAGTACCTATTAGGCCCTACTATTATCGTGTCACTCGAACCAGAAAATAATCAACGCTTATACCTAATTTATATAATTCTTTTCTTTTATTTTTGAAACACTATTTTAATGAAATAATAAATAAATCCTTCTTTAACATTGAACATATCCCCATTTTTATTTGAAAAGTCTGTTCCTCGCGAATACAAATTCATAGCCGCGACTCTTGATAAAGGCTGAGGATACCCCAGCAAAATTATAATATCCCGAGCAGGGACGGACAGACTTCTCCGACTGCTGATAGAAAATAATTACTTATTTTTAAGTGATAGCCGTACTTAAGAAAATTGTAGTACTAATCCAAGTAATCAAGCAGTACTCGCTTTCCTAAAATTACTTAAACTTGTAAGTAATTGTAAGTTGTTTAGAAACTTAATTTATTATTATGATTTATTAATTAATCTATTATTTTTGATTAACGTCAATTACACAATTGTACAATCAGATGGGAATTAATTAATGTAATATGTGTAACGTTTCACAACACTTTTCGTGCGTTTCTGTTTTTGTATATTTAACTTAACTTTCGATTTTTATCAGCTGTTTTAACTATAAGTTAATTAATTATAAATTTAATCAAAACAATAATCCATTGCAGAAGCAAAGGTAATCGGTTCAAATACACGATGTATAACGTGTGTAATGTGTAATAATTTATCGCACTCGTCGGCTTAAATACTGTATTATATGGGGCGAGTATTTCATTAGTTTCAGTTTTACTGCATTTGTCATAATAGCAGTGGATCTCAACTACAACACGTTTTCACCACACCCTAAACAAATTTATGAAACAAACACACCACATTTCTTTAAAGCCACAAATGAATTGACATCAAATTTTAATATATAATTATTATTTTTTGCAGGTCTTTGTGCATGCTAAGGTTTTTTTTAGCATCGGTGGACGCCAATATGTAGGTGAACCAGTACAGTTCTCTTATATGCCTGATGTAGTTTTGGATCACGCCAGAGATGTGACAATCAAGTTACACCACCGACTAGGTCGTTACGCACAATTGCATTTATATTTCGCTGCACGTTGGATGATGCTAAGTGAAATCACTTTTATTTCGGGTGAGTGCATTTAGTTACATTGTTAAAAATAACACTAGTAATAACTAGTAACCTACAGATAGACACAAACAATAATCCACTCCTTTACTACACTCTTCTAGAATTTATCCCACTTAGGCCGTCGTTCAAATGCTATTTTATTTTTTTAACTGATTTCTTAAATTTTTACATGAATTGGGATATGTTGACCTATAAAACCCAAAGCAGAACCTAAATAGAAAATGTGAAAGTTTTGAGGACACGATAATTTTTATCATCATTAATTGTATTCTGAAAAGAAATACTTCAGGCATAGAGAAGTCGGCAGTTCTTTAAACATAAAATAGTTTTCTATAGGAAATAATTAAAATTGTAAAAAAACATATATGCATATATAAACTTATTTATGAAATAAATTTAAACGCTCAAATTGATATTGATTAAAGTAAAAAATTAATAAAAATAAATTTACTATAAAAGTTTCTGGCTGAGCAACGACTTCACAACTCAATGAAAAATTGAAAAAGGAGTGGATATTGCAGACCTATGTAAATATGTAGATAACGTTATTGCCATAATACCACACCATTCTAACTAGCTTAAACACATTTCATACCTAGCTACCATACGTTCCTCGTTCCTAAATTAAACACTACTCAGATACAAGAACAGGTTCTTTTCATCTAACCGTATGGTTTTGACACCAAATGTACTTTAAGGGAAAGCCGAATGTACTTCTTACGCCCACTACGCAAAAATATTAGATAGGATGCATGTTTAAATAATTAATTGTTAATACGACCAATTTATCAATAAGTTTTTTGAACTTCATCGCTCTAAAGCTTCGGTCTAAAAAAATTAAATTAATAAGAAATATATAAACTTATTAGTTAATGTAAAAATATCATAGTTACTGTTTTTC